AGTTGATATATTGGATAAAAAGACGAAAAGACTAAGAAACAAAAGTATACCATTGGTATTAGTTAAGTGGAAATTCCATAAAGGTGCAGAAATGACGTGGGAACCGGAAGAAGAAATGAAAGCTAAATATCCTCAATTGTTTTAGCGAGTATTAATTCCGAGGACGGAATTTCTTGAAGCAGGGAAGAGTTGTAAAACCCAAAAATTTCGGGAAATAAATAATTTTATCTTCATTAATATTCTTTTCATTTTTTAATTATAAAACACACACACGTACTTATATATATATATATATATATATATTAAAGGAATAAAGAAATTAAAAAAAGTTTAAAAATCAGACCAAAAGTGAAAGAAAAAGTCAAGACATGGGTGAAAGTTGTAAAGTCGCGATAGTTAAGGGGTTGGGTCAGATGTAAACAGGTCCAAATCAGAAGGACCTGTTTTGTAAATTCGTCAGATCTGAATTTTTCAAAAACTTGAAAACGACATTTCATTTGAAGCATTCTATTGGTCTGAATATTCAACTATTACGACAAAAAATTAAATATACATGTAGACAACACTTTGCTCTACATTTTTGCTTCAAGAAACCCGAACTTTCATTGAGTTTCGAAAGAGAAATCTGAGGTTGAAGTTCGGGTTCGAAAAGTTCCGTTTATTGACGATTGGAGGTAAAATACTCAACCAAATTTCGAGTTCTTTATATGGATGGCTTAGTTTTTAGGTCCTCTATGAAACCTTAGTAGCCTTATGTCTCAGATTTTAGTTTGGAATGTTCGATTTTGAGTTTTTTTACTGATTTTCGAGTGGTTTTAAAACCGTAACTTTAAACGAGCGTAGGAGACTCAATACTTGATGGTTTTCATTGATTTTTGTTCCTATGGTTAAGGAAAATCATTTTCTAGAGATTTTGCAAAAAGAATCATCGAAAACGATGAAGAAACGAGGCCAAACGGCCGTTTTTCCGGCTGCCGGCGTGTTTATTGCAGCTGGCTGATTTTGGGCCACGATTTTGTGGGCCACGATTTTGTTGGACTTTCTATTTTATTTCTTTGATGTTGGGCCAAAGATGAGACTATATTTTAGGCCCTAAATTTTGGTGCTTAATTGAGTATTTAAGGTATAAGATTTTTGTTAATTTATAGTTAATAAATTTCAGATTTAGTTAATTAGTTTATATTAAATAATTAATTTAAATTTTAAATTAGTTAATATATTAATTTGAATTAGTATTTAATAGTATATTAATTTATTTATTTTTTTGAATATTAATATTAGCTAATTATTTATTGTCTAAGGAGAATGCTTATATAAATTAATAAATTGTTTTGATGATTTAACTAAAGTAATTATTGTGACGTTTTAATTTGGAGCGATGAGATTATAAGATATTA